ACATTTTTGTTTTTCTTTCTAATACTTATAAAGTAGGGGATTTATAATTACTATATAATTGAAAGTATTTTAGAATGTGTTTTTTGGAAGTGGGTATGCTGAGAAATGCCTGTCAAAATAAACACTTTCAATAATGTGAGCAGTATGAAACCAGAGTGTTCACTGCAGCAGGTTCGAGCAAGCCAGACACTTCTTTGAAAGCAGGCTGCTGTTCAATTAGCCATTTAACAAAGCAGGAAATGTAGACCATGTTAGCAATGCATTTAATTTAAACTGATGTATTTTTATTCTGCGGAAAGTCTAAACAACCTCATTTTGCTATATGCCAGTTAAAAGTTAGCTAATCGACGCTAGTCATGTAGAATAGTGATTAGAGTCCTACACATGAAGTTTCAGGACCAGTAGAAGGTGTTGCTTGTAGTCTTAATTTCTGCCTGGAATTTAAATGAAACTGCATGAATATATTCTTTATTATAGGTAATCCACACAGATTACCATATTTATCTTTGTATGAGCAGGCATGGGGACTCAGTTTCATCGTCGTGCAATGGACAATTCAGTTGTACTTTTTCTTAATTGGGTATTGCACAGCCAGGCTTGGTTACTTGCATCTGGATGGGGCAGACTGAGAGAGGTTAGGGCCTAGATTCTAAACCCACCTGCAGGGGGTGGGATAGAGAATGGGGTAGGTAACCACTGAAGACACAGGTATTGGGAAAGGCTTCTGTGGACAGGCCCAAAATATGGTACCAACGGTGAGAGAGGTATCAGGTATAGTAGATAAGGCAAGTATGGGATGTTCCAAATCACAGCAAGCAGAATGTTTAACAGGGGTCCCCAGAATTCTAGGTAGACTATGTTAAAGGAGACCGTCAACAGGTAGGGTCTAGGATTTCAGTCCAGGGGGTGGCCAAAAGGCTTCATCTCATGTGAGTACACAGGTCACTGTGAATGGATTTGGGAGCTCTGTGCTGGTGTTCAGAGGCTGCCTTTGGATTTAGTGGAAACGAATGGAGTGGGGTGTGGCACGTGGCAGTTGAGTTGGGGTTTATGTTAGAGACTGGGGGAGCTGGACCCTGCCTTCAGAGGAGGACTAGTGGGGGTAGTCCTGGTCTTTTCAGTGGCCACCTCTTTAGAGAGAGGAGACACATGGAAGCCAAAAGCCAGACAGGGTTTGACAGATACCCACAAATGTATTTATCACATGGAGTTTTGGAAAATTTCTACTACACAAGGTATAGTAGAATCAGTGGTAGAGTTTCATTAGCCTGACTGGTGTCAACTGGTTAAACGTCTTTGTTAGTTTCAGCCTAATTCCACCAAAGTAAAAATGGATATCTGCACTCTTTTCATAATGCCATCCAGAAAGCTGTTTGATATGTCAAAGGACCCTACATTTCTCTACTGAGCAATTGGTGCGCCAGTTTCTAAGGAGGATTAGTTCCATCAGCTCTGCAAAAGAATGACAAAGCCTTGAACATTTGCTAGATCATCCCAGTATTTATGTGGCCTCTTCAAAAAAATTAAATCCAAGTAGGTTTTAAACTCTAGTTTGAACCATTTTCCCAGGAACTTTGTATGATTTGTATAGGCCCTTTGGAATTAAATGGATGTTTTAGTATCTCTCATGCGTGCATACATTGTACTGCCCACCCCAGGAACAAAACGTCCCCCATCCAGAACATCTTTGTATTCAGGAATGGGTCCAGTGCAAATGACTGGTAGGGCAGCCTGGTTTGTAGAAATTATTCTTAGGCTTGGTTAAAAAAAAAATGCAGTAATATCCTACAGTCCTTCAGCATTGCCACAGCATGCGCTAGTACCAGACAGAGAACTTTGAAAGCACAGCACCTTCCATCTCCAGCGAATGGCCATCAGACAGTTACTTAATGCTAACTTGCTGTGAACACGAATGAGTACCTGAATGATATTTAAGGGAAAAAAAAGCAAGACTCCGTTATGGGGCAGATAGACAGCGTTTCTAATTATTACCAGGTAGAACTTGAAATGATAAAGCTCATGATTTTTAAGGCAAAGTATCAGTTTAAATAAGACCCATTAGCACATAGTATCTAATTAAATGCTAGGTGGGAGTACACATAACTCTAAGTACAAAAAGAACTTTAGAGTTGCATTTCGTGACTTTCTAGGGTAATGGAGTAGACAGAAAAGGCTTATGGAAGAAATAGGGCTTGAAATGAGTCTTGAAGAATAGGTACAGTTTGAATAGGGAAAGGAGAAATAGTATTTTGATGCATGGAGTTTAAAAACATTCAAAATAAATTGCAAAGTACAAAATAATGGCTTGGTATTTTACAAAAGCAGTAAATATTTTAAGTGGTAGTATCACAAAGAAGCATCATTTTAGAGTTGAAAGCATTATCCAACTTTACCAATTTGGATATGGGGAAACTGAGGCTTACAAATAGGGGTTCAGTCCATGCTCCCCGGGCAGTATGGGCCAAAACCAGGTCTGCTCAAGAGCCACCCACTAGACTTCAGCTCGTTCTGTCTGCCATGACCTGCTGCCTGGGTTTTCAGAACCTTTGTGAGCAATGAGACTGCTTTTAGTGTCCAATCAAAAACTTCTCTCAAGTTTCCAGCATGTAATAAACTAAAAATATGTGAAATTAGCCCCTGTGGTTCATATATAGTAAACAATGTCAAGACAGTGTTACAGTTTTCAGGATAAGGCTCCAAATCACTCCATGAGACATGCAGTGGAAAAAACAGTGGGTTTCTGACTCAGATGGATCTGGATGGGAATCTCAACTCTTTTGAGCAACTCCACTTTTCCAAATTGTTCTCCATACTGGAACGGGGATAATGCCTCTCTCCTGGGGTTGGTATGAGATTTAATGAACTGATAATTTCTACTCTAGCATTAGTTCTAGCTTTTGAGGTCTTAGGGGAGCTGGCCTCATTTGGCAGGTCTTACTTCTTCAGTTCACCCATTCCTTGTTAGTTGTGTGAATCCTGTCAGGCCATTTTCCCTACTGACACCATGTTTCCAGCCAGCAGAGCTAAGGCCTCTAGGTGCCTATAAGGGCTAAAAGCGACACTCTGGGAAGCTGCCACCCTGATGTGGGTACATTGCTTGAAGGGAGGAAGGTGCCTTTGTATGAAGCCCTTCCTCTCTATGTGGCTTGGTGACTGGAGCAGCCTAGATTTCAGCACCACTCCTTCATCTTGCCCAGATGCCTCTGCACAGTGCATAAAATATATGACCACATGTATCTGCCCCAAGCAGTGCCATCCACTTTATCTGCACTCAAGCAGGTCCTCCTCCTGTTTTATGTGCAGGTTGTCTACCTATTCAATATTTTTATGCCTTTAAGCCCCTTGTCATCTTATATTTAACTGTGTATAGTTTTTCCTATTAATCTACTTAATTACATTTCTAAAGGGCAGGGATAAAGGCTTTTTCTCCTTTTGAGCTCTTCCTAGCAGAGAACTAGGTACAGCATAATAATTATCTAAATAATTTATTTTTTGATGAACTTCCAAAGAGTAGTCACACATCAACACATCTAATGCATTCAGCAATCCTGTGAAATAAGGATTCTCCCCATTTATGGAGGGAAGCTAAGATTTGGAAAATGTAGGGCACAGAGTAAGCTCTCTGAACTTTCTTGATAGTTTGTTCTGTTTGTTACTAAAAAGTACCGCAAATGTTTAAAGCTAAACAAGTTTTCTTGAATCATTGTGTTGTCTTTACCCAATTAATACTTAGGTAGGTAAAACAGATTTCTGCAGAGCAACCAAGGTAAAGCCAAGTCTTTTTAACACAGGGTGCCTTTGAACGAAACCCATTATAGGTGTATTTACATATTTCAGATTTCATGGATATATTCAGAAATATTAATGTAGTATAATTGAAGTCTAATATTGCACCCTCAAGCCCAGAGTAATGACTCTTTCTCCCCCTTGCCCTTCTACACCTGTCAAAGTTAATTTTTAACCACTGGCACATTGCAAAACATTCATCCTGAAGAGCCTGATTCATAAATCTTGTTTTAAATGCTCTTGGCTTGGTTCTCAACCCAGACTAAAGACAAGCAGTAAGGTAGACGGAAATGATGTTCAAAGAGTTTTACTTTTCTCTCATTTAATTTTTATTGGGTTTAAAATGTGGTCCGACATTAGAGCGTTGTTTCAAAGGTGAGAAATAAAATTTTGAAAAATTATAGGTTTTTTTAAGATGTGTAGAACAGGCAGGCAGGCCACACTAGGGTTTTATCAAACAATCATTTTTATTTGTGCTCTGAAAGAGAGAAACAGGTATTTTGGTATGTATGTGTTGGAGGGGTATAGTTAGTTTTACTTTTGTTTTCACAGTGCAGACTTCTCTTTGTCTCAAGGGACAAGAATCTGAGGGAGAATTGCAGGGGAGGAGTTCTTTATTCCACTAAGCAATGGGTATGCCTTTTCAGAAACCTTGTAGAATGTGTCAGATTTTACGCACATATGTAAACCTGGGTTTATTTAGATACTTATAATGGACGTTTCCCTTAGTACATGAATTAAGACCAGTGGATATGAAGCAAATACGTTGAATTACCCTAACATGCCCTCTGTTCTAAGTTGTCTTAAGTTAAAAATCTGAAGGGAGGTATTCATTTTACCCTTAGATGAAGATTTTTAGTTCATGAATTTTTGTTGTCTATTCTTTTTTTTTTTTTTTTTTTTGAGACGGAGTTTCGCTCTCGTTACCCAGGCTGGAGTGCAATGGCACGATCTCGGCTCACTGCAACCTCCACCTCCTGGGTTCAGGCAATTCTCCTGCCTCAGCCTCCTGAGTAGCTGGGATTACAGGCACGTGCCACCATGCCCAGCTGATGGTTTGTATTTTTAGTAGAGACGGGGTTTCACCATGTTGACCAGGATGGCCTCGATCTCTTGACCTTGTGATCCACCTGCCTCGGCCTCCCAAATGCTGGGATTACAGGCGTGAGCCACTGCGCCCGGCCCGTCTATTCTTTTCTTCATGGTGTTTGTTCATAAGTGATGTCTCACAACAACAAGAAGTTTTCTAGGCTGAAAGCTATTTGTGGGACATTCGCCACTTGCTGATGATTTGCACATATGAAATATGGTATTCAGTTTGTAACTTTTGAACAGTTTAAGGATCGAAAGACATCTTCCTGACTACACCATATCTGCTGAGAAGTGAAATAATGGCCTCTATTTTCCTCTGAAATGAGTTTTACAAAACTTTGAGGAAAGGAAAAATGATACATATTCTTTTAAAGAATCCAGAATATCTAGTTAGTTTTCCAGTGTGTCTAGGTCTTTGAGGTCCCAGAGAAATGCTGACATTAAAATACAAGTTTTCCTGAAAGACTATCAGCTTTGTGAAAAAATTTCCAAGTTATTAAGACATCTGTACTTTTGATTTACTAATTATTTGTTAGCCATATAGATCAAGTGACAGTAATACAACTATGTGCATTAGCTCCTGTCAAATTCGGAAAAACGAAATATACAGAAAGTTTGTTTTCTCCCAAAGCAGGAATTACTGATTCAGTTCTACCAGCAGAGGGCTCCCTTTTTTAAGCTAATGAAGAGCATGTGTCTTGCAAAGCACTCTTCAAACATGAAAATTCAAGGGGAAAAAGATTCAGCTCACACTTTCGTAATAGGACCTCTCTGGTAGATAATTGTACATATTGTGAGAAATTTGTTAAAGGCAAAGTTTTTCCAATCTATTTCAAGACTGACTTTCTGTACGTTGAGAGAGTACTGCTTTCCAGTGGCTCATTTTCTTCTGAAACAGAAAATATACTGTTGGACTTAACAGAGCATTTTAATCTTAGAAGGTTTTGACATGAAACATCATGTGGATCCAGACAGGTATGCTTAGGAGACTGATGTTTCCAACGTTTCTAGCTTTAGAAAGGCTATTTTTAAAAGTAGGGCAAGATTATGCAGCTCAGGATGCAAGGGTATTCTCTGAACTAACCATATGTCCCTATGATCAGATGGCAGATTCACTTATAGACTGTTATTTCCATTGGGAAAGTTTTTCAATATATCAGTTGCACGAAAGGAAAGTTTGTAAAATCACTTTCATCATGGGTTTAGCAGCACTTGCCAGCTATTTCAGTTAACCCTGAAGGTGGTTTCTGCTGCTGGCCTGTGTGGACTCTATGGGACCGCTGGATCCCTCTCCCATGTGGAGTATGAGGCTATTATTGAAAAAAACCCATGTCTTCAAAGGCAACGAAATGCAGTTGTTTTGTTTTAATGTAAGCAAGCTAAAAATAGAAAACAAACCAGAGTTTTTTTGGGGGTGTGAAATTTTGTGCATGTGGCTTAAAAGATTAACTTCAGTTTTGTCCATTTTTAATTTCTCTAGCAAAGGGAAGTGAGGAGCAGGGACAGTGAGTAGAGAAGGGCTTTGAAACCATGTGAAGATTGGGTTCTAGTCTTAGGGCTATAATCTTGTGCAAACCACTTCACCTCTCTGGGTCAGATTTTTCCCCCTTTGTAGCATGAAGGAATTGATTGAAGTGATCTCCAAATTATTTTCTGGTGTAAAGTTTGGCGATTGGTGATTTCTACATTGTGTTACAATTCCCTGAATAACCTTAAAGCTATCTATGCTGATGCAACTGAAAATTCTCTTAGATAAAATTTTAATTAGTTCAATAGTAGTCAGTAATCACAAGTCTGGTCCATTGCCGCTTTCTCAAATAAAGGGTAAACATCCACTAGAAAGGTATGCCCTTCTCTGCCCTTAAATCCTTTACCGCATTAGCTGGCACATAAACCTAATGTAGACACACCTTTTAATAAGCAGGTCATATGGACATTTAAATGCGAGTTGCAATCGACTTCATAAAAATAGCCGCAGTTTTTCTTTCTGAATCGTCATATGATCGTGGCGTATAGTATGTATGTGGTGTGGAGTGTAATAGTCGTCCTGAGGATGCCCTCCTACTACTTACTATTGAACATTTTTGTCATCTGCTCCCTGCCCGAGTTGCTCACAAGGACTTTCCTGTTACACCTGCAGGGCGATCTGTGCTGGTGTGAGAGGAGATGCAGGAGGTGGACACACGAGCGAGGCACTGGGTTGTTCCGAGAGGCTCAGGCCTTTACAAGCGAGGCTTTGATTCTATTTTTTGCTGAACTGGCTCAGCCACTTCCTGTGTTTGGCTGTGCATAGTGCCTCGCTTCACTGTCGGCTGCTTGAGCCCCGCGAGCCAGCCAGCGCGCTCAGCAGCCAGTGAGACTATTTTAGGTCCCCTCACAATGGCCTTCTCATTTCCCAGGCGAAAATGAGCAAGTTGGGCTTGCATTGGCCACTTGTCAGCCGATGACAAGTTTGACTGGGGCTCCCCTCCCCCTCCCGAAATCCCTAGCTCAGCAAATATTTGAACCTGCCCAAGTTAATCATGAAGCTGCGATCTTTATCTAAGGGAGACCAGCGAGCGCCTGGGCTCTTTCCCTCCCCAGTACAGTAGCGAACTCCAGTTGGCTTCTCAATGAGGAGCCGGCAGTGAGCAGCGGGTGGCCGGCCGCGCTGCCGGGCGGGGCGTGGGGTGGAGGGACGAGCCCAGCAGCGGAGCTGGGCCACAGTGCGCGCCCGGAGGGTCCTAGCGGCACCCCCGCTCCTGCGCGCACTCGAGGGCACCGGGCAGGAGCACTGGCCGCAGGGAGCCGGCTGGGGGAGGTGCGGGGGGCTTGGTCCACTTGGTGGAAGAACAGCTTTGGGGATTTTTTTTTTCACTGTCGGATACAGGCATTTTAAAGGGAAACCGTTGAAATGCATAACCTGCAAAGTAAGTTGCTTTGAATTTGTGCACTTCTCTGTTCCTTCCCTGTGGTTTATCTGAGCGGTCCCTTTCTGCAGTTTGTCTTGGAGTGCGTGTGTGTGCGTGCGCCCCTGTAAGCGCTGCCTGGGGAGGACAGATGGGAGATTAGGGGAGACACTCCCCCTGTCCTCGAGTGGGCAGTGGGAGGGAAAGATAGGGTTTAGGTTGGAAGTACAAGAAGAAAGTACTAATTACAATGTGCTTGGTTGGAAGTTGGTGCCAGGCCAGGGCTTAGAGCGGCCATGGAAAATCACCTGTCTCCCTGCCTTCTCCCTGGGTTAGTTTGCCACAGGAGATCCAGCAGCCAGACTGGTTCGCAACAAGGGTTCCCAAATGCACGGACTGACCCTCTGGGCTGTTATACCAGCCACAGCTGCTCAGAGAACTTGACTCCTTGCTTTGGGGGAGGCTTGACATTTTTATTAAACTAAAAAAGAATTTTTTTTTTCTGAATCTTATCTGAGGGCATACCACCGCTTTTACCATTTTTATTTGAATTTGAATTCAAGTTTATCTAAACTTAGGCAAATAGAAAAGTTTAAGTGGGAGAGGGTAGGAGGGGACAATAATGGGAAAATGAATTAGACTAGACAGGGGATGTCAGAGAACACAATGCCCTGCCTTTGGTCTGCTTTTTAAATATACTTTATGATCTCAAATTTTACAGAAAGTCTAAATCTCAAAGGTTTCTATGTTTTTTTAAACGGTCACACAAATATGTGACATACACCGCGTACATAGATCACAGAGCCCATTATAGTTTTTTAAATGAGCCACATTTACGTGGGAGAAAAGGAGGTCTCCCCCCCGTCATAGTATTGTGAATGTATAGAGATTAGTTCACAGTGAGAATGTACAGTAGGCTTCTGTAAGGGTGACAGGATTTTATGCAGAATGACTTTGAAGAACCGAAATTGATCATTAGATTTATAAAGAAATTGATTTCCTTATATTAAGTAGTGCTAAGAAGCAATATTTGTCCCCAGAGCGAGGCATTTGAGATAGAGGGGAAAAAGCCAAAAAAAAAAAAAAAAGTGATTACATCATCCTCCCCTTCCAGCAGTATTAGGAGTGAAGATGGGTTCATCGGTGAAATATTTTGCATAGATAAATATGCCTGTACTCTGCATTCTGATCTATAGCCCCCTTCTTTTTGGAAGAAGCATTTTCTTTGCCCAGTTTTGTTAGGGAATCACATTAAAATTCTCATAATGTTGACAATTTATTATTTCTACTAATAGGCATCTGCACTCCTATGTCGAATTTTCATTGTTTATATAAAGTCTAGTTTTAACTTTGGAATGTTTGGTAGAGGAGGACATTGTATCTCTCCACATTTTCTTTTAACTGTCCTTTCTAATGTGGTACATTTGTGACAATGTTATTTAAATTCTGGGTTTTCAGTGAATTATGAAGGACTGAAATTAAATACCAGGAGTAGTCTGTTCTGCTTTTATTATATATGAGAGATATCTAAGGACTATAAAATACAGCTTAAGTATACCCTTTTGATACCTTTTAAGATTTTTTAAACCAAGGAATGACTGGGCTATATACCCAGATGCACTAGGAGGGGGAGAAAAAGCTCGGAGCTGCAGCATATCAGCTTTTGTCAACCTGCCAGCAGCAGAGCGTACCATGCTGCAAGGAGTAATAAACAAGGAATTAGAAAACTCGCTGCTGGAGAACAGTCAAATTAAACACCTTTTTGAAAGGATGAGCATGTATATATTGCAGTTCTGTTAAATGTAGCTTCTCAGGAAGGTTGGGATTATGTTAAGGCTGGTATAGAAGAGAACTGATGAAGCAGGAGTGGTCTGGTGACATTTTTCTGACTTGATTGGCTGGGGCGTGTGATGTAATAGGTTTCAGTGCAGCCCCTTATAGGTTTTAAAATGAATTCCAAGACACCATTACAAAGAAAGCCGGACTCTTTTCTTATAACTGAGCTCAGCCAAGGAAACTCTTGCACAAATGTACAATACTGTTTGGAATATGGAAGACCTGGATTTAGAATATGCCAAGACAGATATAAATTGTGGCACAGACTTGATGTTTTATATAGAAATGGATCCACCAGGTAATACTGCGGTATTATTGTAGAGAGCTAGTTAATTTCGTGGCTTTTTTAATTTTTTGAAAGCTACTGTAAAATATCCTTTTTAGATTTCTGTTTTTATTAATTTGTCTCATTGATAAAAATTAGTTTGTTCATGGCTTAAAAATTAAACAGATTGTTTGACTGCCTGTGGAAGCAAGCAGCTCAGGCTGTGTGTGGTAAATGCTTATTCTTACTTGAACGGATATGAATTGAACTCCAGTTTTTCACTGGTATCTTTTGTTAATCAAGATCCTTCCCTGGGTGAGTTATATTGTGGTATATTGTCCCTGTAATTAAAATGATGCCTCCTTTGTGCTGCTTTTCTCTGTTGCCAGTGGATGAGAACAGTGTGGCACTTTGCAGTGATAACACTTGGTACTTTAGAAAGCATGTAAAATGTAGCAGTGATTACAACTCAGTTCTCTAGATGTTGAGACGTTGCTTGCTCTCTCTTATATTAAGATATTATAATGAAAAAAGAAGTTGACTTTCCATTATTGAGTGTTGGTCTTTGTAAAATATTCTTGGTAGATACCTGAAATTATTTTTGCATAAGTTAAAATAGTAACAGTGCTTTAAAACTTATGACAGGATTTATCTAAAAATTCTAGATTTATTTTGTTTCCTAAGTTGTTTTATTCCAATGTTAGCTCTCCCCCCCGCCATTTAAGATATTCAGGAATATTGCAGTCTTTTATTTGTCACCAATTTGTATATATGAATACCGATTTGACATTGAGGAAGGGGGATATGATTTTTAATCAGACCTGACATATAGAGCATAATTCATCCAACAGAATATTAACACGAATACTAAAGAGATTTAGGGCACAGATGAGTTTCTGAAAGTGGCTTTTGGCAGAACAGTGCCTGAAATACTAAGATTAGAGAAACCCAATTCCTCCTCTTAAAACATACTGCTGTAGATGAGCCTTTTTATTACTGCAACACCATTTGTGGAGGACACAGACCAAATTTGTCTTTCATAATTAAATAAGAAGAGGAAATTAAAGCCAAGTCATGTTATTCCTGCTACTCATATGTTCATAGTTTCTTTGGATGGATTTGACCAGGCATGAAACTTTCATATGTCTAGAATCTAGAAGTACCAAATGTCATGACTCTGGATTTACTTTGAAATTTATTCACATGGCCAGCCCAATTTATTTGTTAGTTTCTAAGGCTCTCTCTCTCTTCTCCTTTTCAGTTTCATCTCTTTTTGAGCCGTGCTCTGAAAGATTTATTTTTTTTTTTAAGAAAAGTATCTTCCATGTTACATGGAATTGTGAATTAATGCTATATATTTCAATTACTCTAATTTTTCTATTTTTTTAAAGTGAAAGTATTCATCTAAAGAAATTTAGTTCTAACGTAGTTGGGATTGCAAACAACTTTTTCTTTTTCATCTGCAGCACTGCCTCCTAAACCACCAAAACCCACTACTGTAGCCAACAACGGTATGAATAACAATATGTCCTTACAAGATGCTGAATGGTACTGGGGAGATATCTCGAGGTAAGGCTACAGAAACCTCATTTTCACTAGATACAGAGAGTTTTAGATTAAGAGAAAGAAAAGCACCAGCTTGCTAAGTTCCATTTTTAGGATGTCATCCAACATAAGCATGAAGCATAGTTGGTTCTCTTCCAAAGACGACCAGAAAAAGTCACTGAGCACTGGAGGACTGTGGGTGCTGGATGCCACAGGAAATTAAATACCCAGGAAGTTTCATTATTGACAGAGATGTCAGTGAAGCACCAGGCTGAAGTGGCACTGCTTAAGAACAGAGTGTGAAGGCACTCTCTCTATTAAGCACAGCTCTGAGAATTCTTGTCTTAAACACAGTAAGAAAACAATGCCATTTTATGTTAGCTTTGAGAAGGGGAAATAAGGCTGGAGAAACCTTTTTGAGATCATGAGTTTCTCTGCTAATTTGTCAGATTGTAATGTTTGGTTGAAAAAAAAACTTAGTTCCACAGATACACCAATAGTGAAAGTGATATGAGACTGCAATTACTAACATTTCTATTTAAACAAATTATTAGTAAGCTCTTATTAGTAAGCCCTGAAAATGCAATTATTTAAGTCTATGTGGGCAAGAGGAATATGGGCACTCACTGTACTTTCCACTTGATTTTGCCATGAACCTAAAACTGCTCTAAAAAATAGTCTGTTTAAACCTATGGTCACTAAACCTCAGGGTGAGCATTGTCTTGCATTTTTATTTCAGGGAAGAAGTGAATGAAAAACTTCGAGATACAGCAGATGGGACCTTTTTGGTACGAGATGCGTCTACTAAAATGCATGGCGATTATACTCTTACACTAAGGTAAGCCAGGAAATATAGCTGAAATTAGGGTCTTTGGGCTGATATTAAAACATATTTCTTTATTAGAAAATGTTAATACATTTATTTTTATATTGTTTTTACAGGAAAGGGGGAAATAACAAATTAATCAAAATATTTCATCGAGATGGGAAATATGGCTTCTCTGACCCATTAACCTTCAATTCTGTGGTTGAACTAATAAACCACTACCGGAATGAATCTCTAGCTCAGTATAATCCCAAATTGGATGTGAAATTACTTTATCCAGTATCCAAATACCAACAGGTAATAAAAACTGAATTATCCAGTTATGATGTTTAGACAAGATACTTTCAGTGCTCAGAGAACATTTGAAATAGATGAATTACATGTAATCAAGTCTAAAAAACTTTATACTTGTGATCACATAATTGCAATTTTAAAGATGCTTCCATGTCAGGTATTTTGTTAAACAATTCTTAAATACCTTATCTATTGAATTTATTTTTTCCCTCTGATTTTTAATCTTTCTAGGATCAAGTTGTCAAAGAAGATAATATTGAAGCTGTAGGGAAAAAATTACATGAATATAACACTCAGTTTCAAGAAAAAAGTCGGGAATATGATAGGTTATATGAAGAATATACCCGCACATCCCAGGTGAGTTTTCTGTGAAAATCAGATTAAAAGTTTAGAACTTTTAGTTTTTAAAAGACTAACATGGAAAAAAGAATTTAAAAGATTGAGAGTTTTTATGAATGCAGTGGGGCAAGATCATTTATTTATGAATCATTGTTGATTATTTTAGCATAATATGCCGAACCTTTTAACCAAAAATTATAAGTATCAGAATAATTAAGTTCACATGATAACCGAAGCAGTCACTGAGTTTCAAGTTGATTTAGTTACTGATAGAAGGATCCTGTTTAGATTGGAAGCTAGTAATAACTGGAAGTTTCACAGACTTCTCTAATCCCTGAAATGGAGATTTAGCGATGAACATATATCCTGCCACGAAAAGGAGGGGCTGCATTTACTGCCATATTTTTCTAGACCATTACTCTTTGCTGATCATTCATGTATCTGGAAATGCCAGAGGGAGTAGAGGACAACAGGGATGCTATAAACTACGATAGCTTTTTACAATAGCTTTTAAGAAGACAAAAACTGGAGGAAATTGCCAAGTAATCATTTTTCATAGATTGAGAAAATTCTCCAGAGGAAATATTTGTTTCTGGGATACTATTTTAATGGGTTTTATGAATTCAAGTCCCATCCTGCTAATAATACAGATCAAATGTCCTCGTAGTGTCTTGCAGTAGGAAATTGTTCTATGAATGGTGTGACATTATCTTTTTAAAATTATGTTGCAGGAAATCCAAATGAAAAGGACAGCTATTGAAGCATTTAATGAAACCATAAAAATATTTGAAGAGCAGTGCCAGACCCAAGAGCGGTACAGCAAAGAATACATAGAAAAGTTTAAACGTGAAGGGAATGAGAAAGAAATACAAAGGTTAGTGAACCATAAGTGTTTCCCTTGTTCTTGAGCTAGAGATAACCAAAATCCTCTAAAACCATTTAAAGATGATCTTGCTTTCTGTGCTTTGAATGATTTAAAAATGACAGGAAGAGAAGCCATGCTTCACCTAAGGAAAACTGCTGGAAAATCATAGTGAAAGTTTTTATCAACTTTGGGGACCGTGTGTGATGTACCCAGGTAATAACAAATGCATTTCTCTTGCCTGCAGGATTATGCATAATTACGATAAGTTGAAGTCTCGAATCAGTGAAATTATTGACAGTAGAAGAAGATTGGAAGAAGACTTGAAGAAGCAGGCAGCTGAGTATCGAGAAATTGACAAACGTATGAACAGCATTAAACCAGACCTTATCCAGCTGAGAAAGACGAGAGACCAATACTTGATGTAAGTGCTTGAAATGGAACCCTACACATGAACAATTGGTGATTGCTACAGTTCAGGATGAGTTCATGCGTTTTCTTTTTAAAACTGTTTTTCAGGTGGTTAACTCAAAAAGGCGTTCGGCAAAAGAAGTTGAACGAGTGGCTGGGCAATGAAAACACTGAAGAGTAAGTAGTTACTAAAGATGGTGATAGAAGATTTTTCTCATTTTAGGAAAATGCATGACTTGCTTTGTTTTTAGAACAAGTGAGGAATTTTACTGAGTTTGGAATATCTTGTAGGAGAAAATGTATGAACTCAGTGCCATTATCCAGAATTTTAAAAAAAAAGAAAGCTTAACTAAGGAGGACTAGGATTTATTTTTACTCATAATACTGTGAAACAACTCTGTGTCTGTAATGATGTCCATGATCATCTGAAAAATCCCAAGATATTTTTGGAACAATCAGAGACAAAATAATTATGCTTAATATGTTTTAAAGCTTAAGTATATACAGTGTTTGAATTATTCAAAAACTGGCAATCTTCCTAGTCAATTTCCTGATCTAAACTGGATCAACAAGATTGTTTTAATACCTTCCACTCTGCCCAGGTACCTGAGTGTGGTTGCTTGAAAACAGAAATAGTACAAGATTGCTAACTCTTTGTCCTGGGAGGTTGCGCTGGAGGCTGAATACCAGGAGAGGAAAATTCAGGGCAGGCATGTGATGGCCAGTCTGACTGGCTTTGTAGGGGACGGGCAGGAGCCAGGAGGAAAGTGAGGGAGGTATGCCTAGGGAAGGCAGCAAGGCGGACTGATGGCTCCTGCTCTTCATTTAGAAACTTTCTCTCCTGTTTGCCTAGCCAATATTCGTTGGTGGAAGATGATGAAGATTTGCCCCATCATGATGAGAAGACGTGGAATGTCGGAAGCAGCAACAGAAACAAAGCTGAAAACTTGTTGCGAGGGAAGCGAGACGGCACTTTTCTTGTCCGGGAGAGCAGTAAACAGGGCTGCTACGCCTGCTCTGTAGTGTATGTATCTCCAGCAAACTTTTCTTTACAACATCTCATGAAGAGATGTTTCATGCGCTCATTGGGTTTTGGAGGCAAAGATTGGAAATAGTTTTAGCCTTGAATACGCTTACAGTACATAATGTAGAAGAGCAAACAAAGCAAACATGTCATTTTAAAGTTTAGCCAGAAGTAGATGTTAATACAGTCTAATAGAAACCTGTTTAGTTGGAAGACTAGGGTTCGGATTCCAATTCAGTGCTAGTTGATCATGAGAAGTCGCTAAGTCTTTTTCTCCTCTTTAAAATGGAAGTGGCAATGCCTGCCTTTTTGGCCTCTCAGGGCTACAGTAGTTAGAATCTGAGGTAATTTACACTGAGAACATAACCTACAGGAAAAATACTCCTCAGGAACAGGTCAAAAAGAAAAGATTCTGATCATTATCCTTGAGCTATGTACACAAACATTGGATCACTGACATCACCATTTCAGAGAAATAAATGTCCTCTCATAGGGAATGGTTCTAAAAGTATGTTATACTCCATGATCACCTTTCATTGAATGAGAGAAATATTCCTACAGCAAAGAAGGCTACTTTGGTCCTGACTTTGTGTAAGGGCACATGCAGAGATGGAGAGTTGTGCAGCCAGAAAGAGGGAATCCTATGAATAATCATTAGGGGAGTAACAGTGATGCTGCTCGTCATGGGGCAGTGCTGATGGCTGCCCTCATGATGGCTGGAAGCTACCATTTGTTGCACGCTTACTGCATGCCAGACAGTCTCTCAAGCATATTACAGGCATGGTCTCATTTCTCAAAGTAACTGTCTTACATTTTACTATTGTCTTCCCTTTAAACCATTTAAAAAATGAAAATACAGTAGGTCAGTGAAGCTGGGTTACCTACCCAAGCACCCAGCCAAATGTCTACAGTGTGACAGGGCCAGGAGTCTACAGTAACCTAGGACCCTTTCCCCAAGTTGAGGCTGGCCTGCATAGAGTCGTACTGCACAGTGATGCTTTTTATTAAAAACGCCCTGTAGAGTTGTGAATTGTCTTGGACAAGCTCAACAGACAGTTTTTCCTTCTCTCCTCTCTAGGGTGGATGGTGAAGTAAAGCATTGTGTCATAAACAAAACAGCGACTGGCTATGGCTTTGCCGAGCCCTATAACTTGTACAGCTCTCTGAAAGAACTGGTGCTACATTACCAACACACCTCCCTCGTCCAGCACAACGACTCCCTCAACGTCACACTAGCCTACCCAGTATATGCACAGCAGAGGCGATGAAGCGCGTACTCTCTGATCCTTCTCCTGAAGTTCAGCCACCCTGAGGCCTCTGGAAAGCAAAGGGCTCCTCTCCAGTCTGATCTGTGAATTGAGCTGCAGAAACGAAGCCATCTGTCTGCGGATGGGACTAGAGCTTTCTTTCACAAAAAAAGAAGTAGGGGAAGACATGCAGCCTAGGGCTGTGTGGTGACCATACGTTTCTAAGCTGGAGTGCTTATCCTTTCTTTTTCTTTCTTTTTTTCTTTGGTTTAATTTAAAGCCACAACCACATACAACACAAAGAGAAAAAGAAATGCAAAAATCTCTGCCTGCAGGGACAAAGAGGCCTTTAACCATGGTGCTTGTTAATGCTTTCTGAAGCTTTACCAGCTGAAAGTTGGGACACGGGAGACCAGAGGAGAGAGAGGCAGAAGAACCCTGGCCTGAGAAAGTTCGGTCCAGCCTGGTTTAGCCTGGATGTTGCTGTGCACGGTGGAGCCAGACACGTCGCACTGTGGATTATTTCATTTTCTAACAAATGAACGATATGTAGCAGAAAGGCACTTCCACTCACAAGGGACACTTTGGGAGAATGTCAGTTCACGTATGTTCAGAAGAAATTGTGTCATAGAAAGTGCCAGAAAGTGTTTAAACTTGTCAAAAAAACAAAAACCCAGTAACAGAAAAATGGAGTTTGGAAAAGACTTAAAATGACATTCAGTATATAAAATATGTACATAATATTGGATGACTCACTATCAAATAGATGGATTTGTATCAATACCAAATAGCTTCTGTTTTGTTTTGCTGAAGGCTAAATTCACAGTGCTATGCAATTCTTAATTTTCATTAAGTTTTTATTTCAGTTTTAAATGTACCTTCAGAATAAGCTTCCCCACCCGTTTTTGTTGCTTGAAAATATTGTTGTCCCGGATTTTTGTTAATATTCATTTTTATTATCCTTTTTTTAAAAAGAAATGTACAGGATGCCAGTAAAAAAAAAAAAAAATGGCTTCAGAATTAAAACTATGAACTATTTTACAGTTTTTCTTGTACAGAGTCCTTGGCTGTTAGCCCAAGGTTAAAAAGTTCCTAACAGATTTTTTTGGACTGTTTTGTTGGGCAGTGCCTGATAAGCTTCAAAGCTGCTTTATTCAATAAAAAAAGAAATGAAAAAGATATATGAATATGACAAAGTATTGCTGAGTCCAACAATGCTGATTTAAGACTCAAAATACGGTACCTGGCAAAGTTTATTTCATAAAGAATTGTGAACTTCTTGAATCTAGGGAAGGGGATGTAGTGAAGGGATGTATCGGGTGGGGTGGTGGGAGGGGAGGCAAGGTTGTATGCACTTTCTCATGATTTAGAGAGGTGAATAACTGCAAAGTGAAGTTGCTTCTTCTTCAGTCTTTTCTCACTTTGATTTGCTAGTTGTTATCAATTAATTAATGACAATTACAAACCTACTGTAACTCTAACACAGTGTGGCTGGTCAGGTATTTCAGTTCTTATGAAGGAAGTGCCGAGTTTGTTTAGAACACTGGTTTAAAGGGATAATCTCTGTCACATTAGACTCTCCATACAACCAGCAGATACTCATCTTAGGAAAAGCATGATCTGAAATAATACTTTTAGTGGGATGTTGGTTACTTTCCTAGCTTTCCATTCGGTTTAGAACATAAGCAAATAGACACAATCGTACTGTCACTGCTCTGGGCTGTGGAGCTTGCTAACATCATGGCCATTGCAGGAACCCAAAGCAGTCCTCATTCATCCAAATCACTGTTTGTGCGTGCTTCACCATGGGGGAAAAGGAAGCGTTAGCCTAATCTTTCCAGTTTAGGGCAAGAGAGAGAGGTCTCTCTCCCTGATTTAGATAGGTAAAAGCTGGTTTGTTCAGTGGGAACTGTACATGTGTTGGAATAAAGACTAACTAGCGACCGTAATCATGCTCACTACCCTAGTAGGTTAAATGAAATCCTGCAATTTCAAATTTCCCCTTCTCCATATTAGATGTACCCACAGCTATGTTTCTGTTCAAGTACTAGGGTGAGGGTTTTCTGTTACTTTGTTTTTTAATGTTGTTCCTTTTGAAAGGATCAGTCTTGCAGCTGAGTGAATCATCTGTAGAATGTATTATTTTTCCTCTTTACATGAAGCTACTCATACTTAAGCAAAAGTCAGTCTTACAGCAAGACAGTCCTCAAACTTGACTTTACTGATCTGACCATCTCCCTCTCATCGCAGGACAACTGACGATTTCCCTGGTTTTAGTCTGTGTCTCTGCTCTAAAATTATTGTGGTGATATCCTTCCATATCACACAGAAGTCTAACAGTTACTCAGTGGATAGTTTTTAAACTAGGTTTGTGGGTATTTTTTTTTTTTTTTTTTTGGTAGCAAATGTATGCTATTACATACAAATAAGTTTTCTAAAATAATAAGATCTGGGATTTAATATTTTTATTAAAAGCTACAGTTTTGTGAATGTTTTTGCTTCAACATTCTTTGCAAGATGACATGGTATTTAGGCAGTTGCCTTAGTTTTGCATCCCACAAACGTAAGTGCAATAGATCTTTCATTGAACAGCAAAGTAGGATCCATCATTCCATGCGACTGAGTTAACACCAGACCTAGTCTGCCTAATGCCTTGGTTGCAGTGTAGCTTGCCCACAGCATTTGTCTTTTTAGCTATTTGGCCAGCCGGGCACTCTGGGTTTTATCAGACAGCCCTCCTAACAACACCATCTGAACGGCCGAGTATGAATAGACACAGCAGAGGCACTCCTGATACGTGATTTTATCCATGCGTCAGTTTTTCCACCCAGTGTAGCATCCTAAAGATAAAGCCAGAAGCTAAGCTGCAGTGAGGCTGTGATAGGGCATAGAAGTGGGAGCATTGGAACCTCACGTTACACACACAAGAGATCATAACCACGTGAAAAGGCAAAAAGCATGTGTTTGCAACATCTGACAACTTCACGGCCTTTGATATATGTATATATGTATATGTGCATGGACTGTGTTTCCAGTACACCTTTCAGCCAAAACAGATCCACAGTAGTTGAGTTCAAGTACATAACAAGCAAATGTCTAGTACAATTCTTATATATGTGTATGGGCTTTTTTCCCTTTGAAGTTGCTTTGTTTTGTCTTACAAAGATGAAAATTGTTTGCAAGTGAAGTGAGAAGTTTGTATTTCTTTGGCTTTTTTGTGTTTTTAAAAGCTACTCCTTTTAGGGAGCTGGTCTGGGTGACTTGCTTAGCTTGGAAATCCTTGTTCTTAGTGTGTTGAGTCAAAATGTGTTTATGTGAGCTGTCACTGTGGGGAACCAATTGCTTTGTCATATAACTGGTTATGAACTGGTAACATGTTTGGGAAGTCCTACTGATGTTCCTCTGAAAGAAAAATTCTGCTGGTTTTAACAACTGTGCTTTTGCTATGCATGGTATCCAGGTTAGTTGAAAAGCAGACCCTGAGATCTGTTTTCAGTTTAGAGTCATTTTAGAAAGGGGCAGTTTAAAGCACAACATCTCACATGGGACAAAGTTCCAAAATGCTAAATTCTTATTTTTTAAAAATCTAGTTCTATAAAATATTGGTATTATGGGCGGGGAGGAAATGGAATTGAGTCAATTAGAATGACTATCCAACTTAACATGAAACTTGTCACCATGAGATAGCATTAGCTGCCCAGGATGCTGCTATATATATATATATATATTTAAAAAAAAAAGCAAAACAAAAAAAACTCATTTATACCTGTGTATTTTTTAAAGCTACAATCTGGTCAATGTTTTTACAAATCTGTTTATATGACATTGTTAAAATAAAGTTGGTCTTTTGACGAGAGGGAGGATGTCACGGTCAGTTGTAATTTTGCCTTCACAAGGCAACTGGGGTGGGGGTGGGGGTAGTGTGCCTCCTTGACATTTCGTTCAAGTTATAGATTCAATGGAGCTACGTCTTGTTTTCAGTTGCTTTAATGCATTGTATTAGATCTTCAAACAGAATAAAGGTTGTTTTGAAACTTAACTTTTGGGTTGAAATTTCACCTATCACCTAAGAAATCTTTCTGAAACAGTTCTCTGTCTTTTGGCTTATAGATGTTGCTGCTATTTCTGTTGTCTCCTATCCACCCTCTTTGATTGCTATTACAGTATCTCATTTTTTGTAAAGTGAAAAGGACATTGGTCACATGTAAGTAACATTGACCTATTGTTCATAATTTCACCATCTTAAATGAGGAAATACCTCTGGGTGATGTCCTTTCAAGGCATGTTCTTGCTATAGGAAAACTAGAATGCCCATCACCCCTCAATTCTTCTCCCCTCCTCCACATTCATCCCCAAACCTTGAGAATCATCGAATTGTGTCTCTGTTGTGTGGTCTGCATATTTTGAACACTCAGAACAGGGACGGTAAGTAGAGGAATGACATGGGGCTGTAGACAGGGAGCTAAGCTACACCCCCAAATGCAGCTGGTACTCTGTATCACCTAGTCAAGATAGACAAGTCTTACTGTGGATAACTTCCCCATTTGTTTTTATTGCTTAGTGGACTTAAGGCAATACCACTTGGCATGTATATGATGCTCACTTTACATGTAGGCACAGTGAGGGCCTAGGCCTGAAGACACGGTCTGGTAACAGGGGAGAGGGACATCAAATAATTACTGTCAGGCCAATAATCACTAATATTTCTTAGTATGGCGGTAGCTCCAAGACTGATTTTCTGCTTTCCCCCTGCTCTGTTTGGTACCACAGAGAACTATATTCCCTGGATCTTTTGCCCTTGGCTTAGGTGTCTCACCCTAGGCTCTTGCTCCTGTCAGACAGACCCTCATTTTCAAATCTGTGCAAACCCCCTCTGTTCTAGCTCTCAGGAGAAGGCTCTGGAAACATTGCTTCCTCCCATTTTTACTCTAGCCCAAGAAGTGGTTGCAACTTTATGCTGTTGCTAAATCTCTGGTTTCCCTCACCCCCATTTGGTCTCTGAACCCTTCCCTTCCCCAAGTAATTCATTCTTATCATTCAATTATTCCTGTAAAAGTTAGGGTAATGTTTCTCCACCACCACCCCGCTGCCCCCCCACCGCCCCAACTGGTCTCTGACATATCAAGGAATTATTGTCTATTAAACTCTTTGTATGTCTTATTCCTTCCACAATTATGCGGGTAAGATAATGATATTCCCATTATTTAGATGAGAAAACAAGCATAGATGTGAAAAGGCTTGCTGAAGATCACGCAGCATATGACAGCAGAGTTGAATGCATAGGCTTCTCACTCAAGCCAGAGCTCTTTGCCCCCGTGCTGTCATGTAATAGCCTTTCAATGGAAAATGCACAAGAGAATGCAAAGAAAAGTTCACCGGTAACTTTTTGCAGGGGAGGTAACCATGTGGTTTTCAATTAGTAGACAATGCACAGGTGGCCAATGATGAATGGCAGGAAATAGCCTGGGCTTGCTTTAAACCAGTGGTTCCCAAAGTGTGGTTCTCAGGCTAACAGCATTCATATTAGCATCACCTGGAAACCTGTTAGAAGTACAAATTCACAGGCCCTACCCCTGACCTACTAACTCTGAGACTGGAGCCCAGCAATCTGTTTCAACAAGCGCTCCAAGTGATTTTAATGTATACTAAAGTTTGAAGATCACAACTTTAGATCACTTGCTTACTGAAACAATACTTCTAGTATTTTAACTAAAAACCATTACCATTAATGCGTGGAGTAATATGTGACTTTATAATTTATGTTCACTTAGACCACAGAAAAAATAAAATAGATTGATTTGCCGTTTAGGAGACCCAGCCTGGTCTTTTTATCTGTCTTTAAACAGCTGTGGGAACTGGGCCAATTCAAGGCACCTTCCAGGCCTCCAACTCCTTATCTGCCAGATAAAGGTCTGGGCCTCTGGGACTCCTTCTAGAGCATGTGCTGTGATTAAGTAAGCTGAATGAAGCTTCTCAGTCCCCCAATTCTGCATTTACAACTTGACCGCCAATTTTAACCCACAACGGCTGGTCCTTTATGTTGTCACTAGGGCCAAGTGAAAGCATGCCCAGAATTGGGGTATGGTTTTCTTGCTGACATCTTAAATGTGACACTTGAGGTGAATCTAAATTGGCAGCCAAGTTCTTGACTGCGGAAAGGAGTGTATTTGGAAATGACACTCTGCCCATCTACCTAGAGCATGAAGCGCTAAGAGATTGTGGCCTACCAAACCCTCTGAGGCACGGTGGGAAGCAGAGAAGTAGAGTCTGTTAAGACCTGATACAGTGTCAGCCAATTTAAGAAACCTTTTTTTCCCAAACCTGTCCCTTTAAAAAGTCTATTTAAAAATACAAATCAGTTGCAATATCTTAAATAGATAGAACTGATTGTTCACTACCCAAACTTCAGATTATCTTCTCAAAAGATAGCACTCTGTAACCTCCAGTTTGGAATTGATGTCATAAATCAACTCAACAGAAAACCGCTGAGATGCTTTGGGGGAGGGGGTGTGTGGAGGATAAATGAGTAATCACCAACATGCTAATCTTCATTTTGCTTTCCAGAAGGAAATGAGAAATTCCCTTCTCTCTGTAGCACTCAATCATAACAGTCTGAAGCATGACCTCAGGCTTAACTTGTTAAGTTAAATATTCTAAATCTATACCTGTCTTGACAGGTGTAAAGGTTTGGCCTATAATATGAGAACAGGACAGTCAACCTCTAACCACCACCACTAATCACATTAGGAAGAAAGTTACAAGAGAGCTCTATTCATCACCAGGACTGCTCATTAGAATTATAGTTTTGACTGTAAAATATACCATACGTTGTAGGACCAGCTCACTGGAACCAATTTATTTATGGAGCTCTCATTTCAGAGCTCAATGATTTATAGTCCAGCCCTCACAAACCAAAAAATATTGATAACTTCATCACAATGGAGACGATGTGCTGATCACTTTATGTCAAATTTACTGTCCTCTAACAGAGGCCCAGTGCCATATGCTTAAAACTATTTAAAATAGTTTTGTTGACAGTGGTGATGATCTGTTTCTTTGGACCTGCAAGGATAAGACATCCGAAGAAATGTCTAACGTATTTAGAGCTTTATTGAGCACCTACTATTTGCTGGACACTGTATTTCCCTCTGAAGATCCAGTGATGTGACAGGTGAAATCAAAATTACAGTCTGCTGGTGAAAGCAAACTCAAACAACTGCCCTCTATCATAAGAGATAGAGAGGAATGAACACTGAGTCTCAAGTAGGCCTGCATGAGGAGCTAGGCAAATCTTCAGAGAGTAGTTGACCTTTCACATGCTTCCTAGTCTAGAAAAACAGGCCCATATACCCCTGGTGGTTGCTCCTCCCACCAGCCTTCATGGAAGCTGGTTCTATTGAGACTAGACCATTGTACTTCTTTAATATAATCACTTTTCAGGTGACATGGTTGGTTTTTCCAATACTGTCAAAGGCATTATCTCCATTGTCAGTTCTCTAGAGTCGAATGTTCCCAGCTGCAGGCAGATCAGACAGCTGACATCACACACCTCAGCTTCAGGCATGCCGCTTTTCTCACTGTCCAGGGACAGATGCCAGGGCTTCACCTGGCTCTTTGCCTTGGCACATTAGATGTGATCTGCATGCAACTGTGCCTTTTCCTTTTATTTTAGATGAGAAATTCTCAACCCTAGCTGAACAATAGAATCACCTGGGTATCAATTTAATAGAAAACCTGACTTATTGGAGTCTCTAGGGGTGAGGATTAAATAAGATGTTCAGAATGCACCTGCAACATGGCTGGCATTTAATAAATGGGAGGCAATACATATGGTTGCAAGTCTTGCCTATTAAGGTTAGATTCCCCAAAACTATTGCTTTTGATTTACTGTAGTTCTTATTATAGTGCTGGCTGGACATATGGTAAACCACCCAAAATCTATTAAGAAATTTCTATTTATTCATATCTGTACCTAATTCCAGAAAGCATTTACATTTTATTGGCTCTTAGGTATACAGGATTGATTTTCTCATCATCCAATGGACTAAAAAATCACCAATTTATGCATGGCTGGCTGTTCTATTATTCTGAAATATCATATAGCATTAAATACAAGTATGACAAGATAAAAAAGTAACCCCTGCAAAACAGACACAAAACAAGTAGTGAAGGAAGAAAGGAAGGGAGATGTTATTGAAAATAAAAACAAATTGTGTCTAAGGAAAGTTCCAATAATTGAAGGAGAACAAAGCTTCCTATTAGCCAGGCAAAAAATGGGCCACACAATGGTTTCATAGTTCCAGAGCTCTAGGAGGAGGAACTTGTCAGTTCAGTGTGAACTAAATGATCCTCTTGCCCTGACAGTTGAGAGGAATCTGTAAAGGGACCTCTGTAAGTGGTAGTGCTTCTTACACAATGTTCAAATAGAAATGCTTCTTCAGTTATATTCTCCGTATGGCGCTTTCTTATTCAGTCTGTGGCAGAAACAGAATATTGTCCTAGAAAGGACGTTCTGTGGCTTTGGCTCCAGAACTCTGCTCGAGGTGCATCTCGTCTGTTTCCCAGCACTCTTTGGGCTGCACCCACTTCAACACGCCTAAGAAAGCTGCCCTGCAAGTTGTACAGAAGGAAGGGCCAACAAAATCAGGGCCGCTGCTTATTTGCTAGACTGTTCCAGGCCAGCAGCTCAGTGGTGACTCTGTTTTCGGGAAGTCCTTGTGACATCTCAGGCAGTGCCAAGTCTCAAAGCTGTGGGGGACTGAACACTCCACTCTCTCAGCCAGACAGCAGCTATGTCTGGTCTAGAGCCCAGCATCATGTGGCACTATGTTTCGTTCATCATTTTCCCCACAGAATATACTAGTTCTAGTTCATTTTACTATTTTTAAAATTTTGTCTCCCAAAGATAGATTCCAATGATACGTTTTAATAACACCCCATGAAACTGGAAGTTCAAGTTTTCTGGCTTTTTCCCAAGAAGAAGTGTTATCATAAATATATGGAACTTTTGAGGAATTTCTGCAAAAGTCTGTAATCACA